CAGGTTACAAGCTGGTGCTGAGCGTGGGTAGAACAGCCCCTTGCTCACCATGTGGCCAGTGCCCCACACTGCAGCTGCTCACAGCCTGCATGGCGCTGCCTGTGCCTGCTCAGGCCAGCTCCGTGTAGGCTGCAAGTGCCTGCAGCAGGAAGCACCAGCCATGAGGTGGGTGAGGGGCCACTCTTCCCCCGTGCTCAGCACGAGATTCTTCCCTGCCAGCAAGCAGGGGGGTCGGGGCTATGCGCTGTCCCCCACCTGTACCACGAGGCCGGGGAGCACTGGGTGTGAGTGGGTGGGGAGCCACCGGGAGGACGGGGCCTGCACCAATGTCCTGGGTCCAGTGCCGGCAGAGCCCAGAGCAGGGTGGCAGGAGCACAGGGTCCCAGCTGGCAGGGGCTCTGTGGAGCCGGGCCAGCTCCCCCCGGTACAGCCCAGTCCAGCTCCACAGACCCCTGCCAGCCTGCGTCCCACTTTGGGCCCCACCAGTGCTGGCCCTGGGACATTGTCCCAAGACATTGGGACATTGGTCCCAAAATGGTGACCAGGGGGTGGGGCACCTGTCAAGGGCTGGGGTTACCCATGCGGCCCTTGACAGCCTGCCAGAACTGGGTAAGCTGCCCTCCGCCCAAAATAATTGCCCGCCCCGACCTAAAGTGATGCCACAGCCACCTTAGTGCAGGAGAGGGTTTGGGGCTGTAAATCTACATCTTGCACAAGGCAACCCAGAAGAAGGATGAGATTTCAAAAGGTATGCCTTTCTTTAGTGCTTCCTATTGGCTGGATTATGTAAACCACCCCAAAACATGCTGCATGATGTGAATCCCAGTCCTAGATGCCCAGCTTTCCCTAGGGCAAAATGGGCAACAAAGGTAACTGAAGACTTGTAGATACCACTCCTGGGGTCAGAAGCCTAAATGTTAAGCATAGCTAGGACATTTAGTCCTTTTTAATCTAGTTAGATAGCAAAATAAGCAGGATGGTGGTGCACAAGGGAGTAAAATAAACTAGTCACAGCTAGCAGGGAAAAAAACATATGAAAAGAATGCCTGAATGTTTGTGTGTACTTTATTTGCAAATTGTATTTTTGTAAAGATGTTGGTATTTCCTTTGAGCAGATGTTATCGCACTGCCTAGTAAGTAATTATGAAAATCTCTTCCTCTTATGAAGTCAACTTAATGTACCACCTCCCAGAGGGCTTTGTAGCTATTTAAATGCTATATTACCATTAAAGCATACTTAAAATTCATTTCATTACACAAACGCTGATTTAGTTTCGCTTCTGTTTTTCGTGCAAATTCCATTCAGCTAAACATCTGATTTCATCATTATGTACATGCAAATGAAAATTATTTAATTCAATAAGATTTTTTTACCTTAGCTATCAACGAATACTTCACAAAAGCCTTTATTGTGCTTGGTATATTGTTATGCACATATTGTGTGTGCAAGAACTGACCAACTTCTGTTCCACTGCTAGTGATTGCACAGCCCAAGACTCAAAAGCCTATCTGGTTATGATTCTCCATCTCAGCTGAGAGACTCAACCATAAGAAGTGTTTTAAGTGGTTATTATGAAAGGATGGGTGAAAGAACAGGACATGTTATTCATTATTTTCTTCCTATGCATTTTCTTGCTCTTATGTTGGATCAGGGGAGATTTACCTTTTAGTGTTCATTGATGCTTTCATCATCCACTTATTAGTGAGGGGATCAAACACTTCCATGCTGCCTAAATGCTCATTTCCATCATGTCCACCTACTGCATATACTTTACCTGAAAAACATACAAGCACCCCAATTTAGTGGTTGCTTGCTAAACAATTCTGGCTGTCTCGCATCCAATACCACTGCTTCTGCTGGAAATCATAGGTTCAAGTGTACTTTCACAAAAAATACCACCACTTTTTCAGTAGTAAAAACAAGGTTAAAAAGTTAAAAGTTTTTGTTTATTCCAGGCAAGGTTCTTTGGCTAGATATGATATCTTTTATTGGGACAACTAAATAGTTGGAAAGAGTTATTTGCAAGCTTTCGGGCACTAACACCCTCCCTCAGGCACTGGGAGACTCTGCTGCTGTTCTGAGGTTTCTAAGGTAGAAAAGAAGCTAGAGTAAACAGATGTTTGTGAAGATGCAAATGACTGGAAGTTTGGAAAACAAAGGGTAGAGACAGGAGGGGGTGTGGAAGGTAAGGGAAGTGTGTGAAGGAATGCAGGTCATCAACTAAAAGGCAGGTTACCTGGAGCGTTAGATGTCATGCAGGCTCTAATGTGTCATAAATCCAATGTCTATCCTGATTTTTTGTATGCAGTAGAATTATGAAGTGAAGTTCGTAGGCTTGCCTATGAAAGGTGTTTTGTAAGTTGCCTTTGAGAATTAAAACTGAGAGATCACAGAGGGAGTGATTGTCTTGTGAGAAGTGTACACCCACAGGTAGTTGGATATTTTTGTCTTTGATGGATTTTCCTTGTGTGTTCATTCTGGTACGCGGTTACTGTTTGGTTTCTATCTGGGCATTTGGTGCACTGGATTAAATATATTACATTTCAGGAGGTGCAATCCAGTATCTCATACTCTTATCCAGAACATGAGAAATACCATGATGGGTTAGACCAATGGTAGCCCAGCAGCCCATCTCCAGAGGCAGAAACAGATGCTATAGAGCAGGGGTGGGCAAAATGCAGCCCATGGGCCAGATGCGGCCCGCCAGGCCATTCTATCTGGCACGCGGGGCCCCTAAAAAATTAGAAAATTAATATTTATCTGCCCCTGGCTGCCTGTCATGCGGCCCTCGATGGCTTGCCAAAACTCAGTAAGTGGCCATCTGTCCAAAATAATTGCCCACCCCTGCTATAGAGGGAGAGCATTGAGCTGGACAGTTTTATCCCCTACCCATTATCCTCCCTGGCACCCACCATTATTGGTTTAGAGATGCCAGAGGAAACACCTACAACTGTTCTGTTCAACAGATGTTAACAGATCTTTCATCCAGGAATTTGTCTAGTCCCTCTTTAAAACTGGCAGCGCTACTGGCCTCTACCACCACAAATTAACTAAGTGTTGCATAAAAAACTACTTAACTTTAAGTTTTAAACCTGTCACCTACTAATTTCAGTGGGTGCTCACTAGTTCTAGCTCCCTGGTCACTTGGTCCACATTCTTCATGATTTTAGACCTTTATATCCTCCTTCATCTTTCTCCTTTCCAAACCAGAGTCCTAACTATTTTAGTCTCTCCTGCTATGGCAACTGCTCCATCCCCCTGAACATTTTGGTTACCCTTTTCTGTATCTTTTCTAATTCTACTACATCCTTTTGGAGATGGAAAAACCAGAACTGCATTCAGTATTCAAGATGTTGGTGCACGGTGTATAATGGGGTTTGGTTTTGTTTTCTATTCCCTTTCTGTAAAAGTTGTTAACATCTTTACTTAAGACTTTCTGATTTCAAATCAAAACAGTGTGCTACAGGCTGGATATGCCTTTCAGTGTTTACAAAAACAACTATAGTAGTGCATTTTTCTTTACACTTCAAATTTTAAACCATCTGAAAACCAGTTTTTTTTGTTGGGGCTGCTACAGCAATCTACAGGTATACCATCTGGGGAAAGGGCAAACTCAGTTGTGGCTATCTAGTCAAGTCACTTGAAACTAGTGACCACTCTTAGAAATTATGACGTGTATGACTTTCCCAGAGTAGCAAAAGAAGTCAACATCAGAACAAAGGAAGCTTGGCTTACCGTTCTATACTCTTACTATGCTCTTGTTAACTAGCTTACTCTTCTAGCACGAGGGTGTTAACTAGCCAACATGCTATATACAACAAACAGTAGTCACACTGGGACTTAACATGGTCTCAGACTGGTGCAGAAGTAATGAGTTACATTCAGGCCTGAAAACACTTATTATTGCATCAAAGCATGCCCAATAGTTAAACCATACGAGCAGGATTTAATTACAGTTAAGAACAAGTGTCAATTCCAATTCGTAGAATAATTGAACAATAAAGCATACTAGCAAAAAAAAAAAGTTACTTCAGGACAAGGCTATGTTGTTACTAACCTCCCACAGAGATTACACCCACGTGCCTCCTCCTGCTATTCATTTCAGGACCAAAGAACCAGTTGTTTTTGTTTATGGAGTAGCATTCAATGCTGCGAAATGGGTCACCTGATCCACCTCGACCACCAACACAGAACAACACACCTGAAGAAGTTAGAGAGGAAATACCAATTTCAAATCACCAAAGTAAGTTTTCTTATATGAACAGAACTAAGTTATTAAATCAGTTTCTCCTTCTTGGCTCCTATGTAGTGCAACTAGTTGTCTGCATTTGGATCAATGACTTCATCTTTCATGGTCTGTGCAGTTTTGGCAGGCAAATTAACTCGCAATATTGTTGCACAGACAATTAACCAGACTCCAAGAGCTTAATTAGGGATTTTAGTTACATTAATTGCAACTTGACTGGGGAGAGAACAGTATCATTCAAAGTACAGTCTGTAAAAGACAACTCTAGCTTGTTTTCCTATACAGCTCAAAAAACAGTCAGCACTTAGTATTCTTCCTACAAGTTTTGAGTTGAATGTTTCAATTTGATCTAGGTAAATTGAAACCACTGAAGTATTACCATGAACATTTTTAGTAAAACTGGTAATACATATTAAGCACTGCAGTTAAGATGTTTCTTCCTGAAACCATATATTAGTCATAACCAATCATTTAATCCATGCCATCTAGCCCTACCAAGATGAGCTCCCTCCATCCATTCCCCTCCGTTCTCAATATTGGATATTCCGATCCCCATTTAATTACCTGCAGTTTGCTTCCTCGGTGTTGTGCGGATGGAATACTCGAAGTCTGGCACTGCCCTGCTGCTCAGGTGAAGGTGGTAGTTTTTCGCTTCATCCAGTAAATCCCTGCATTTTAGATTCTGTTTAACAATCTCTTCTTTTGCCACAACACCCATAAGGAAACAAATGGGCAACAAAGGCAGACGTACCTGATGGGAATGCACATAGTTCTGGATAATACGCTATATTGGTATTTTAATCCTTAGATTTAATGAGTTACGTACATAACACACTGTACCCCCAAAGTAACGTATCAGTCAAAAAACACACTGCAAAGTGAAGAGTTAAATTCCGTTACCTTTATTTTTTTGGGAAGGCTGAATAAGAAAGTTTCTTTTCAGTTGGCAAAATTCTTCGTATGTTTTGCTTTTAGGCAGGGCTTGGAAGATCCCCTGGCTTGTTTCAGAATATGTATGCAAATAGCACTTCACCTGTTTGCAGTAATGGTTCCTATTGCCAAAACCAACTGGTGCCTTAAAGCAGTGCAGTACTATTTACTTCCCTTATTTCTCTAGTTGATATAGGCCATGTCTATACTTTTGCTTGAAGTAGTGATGTTATAGAAAAGTAAATGAATCTTTTACCTATCAGCATAAAAATGCTTTTATAGGTATGACTTATTTTGCTTGGGAAACCAGTAAAGATTAGAACTCTTTACTGCCAGCGTAACACTACACTAGGAGGACTTGCAAAAAAGCAGTACCTGCAAATCTTTTTCATTTCACACCTAGCAAGACAGAGCTGTAAGTTCATGGACACAGAATTTACTGGTATAGTCGCTTGTTGCAAAGGGGTACAGAACAGGTAGGCCTACACTAGTGGAACATACACTACTCAAAGTAAGGAGCAAATCCTTGGTGCCAGATTAGGAAAGGAGGCCAGAAAATGAATACAAGTTATAGGACCAGAACTATTAATTCTAGTTATCAGAAAAGACTAGACTAGGTTGAGACCTAATCCATACAGAAGTGAGACTAGTACAACTACACTGTGGTGGGAAAGTTGGTTGACATGTAACTTAAAGCATTATGGTGTCATTTTTCACCTGGCCTAACTTATTTCAGTTTTGAAACCAACAGGCATTGCATACTAGCGCTGTGCGAAGCTTCAGGTGGTGGTTCGATTCGGAGAAGATTCAACCCGATTCGGTGGCCAAACCTCCGAATCGAATCAGGGGACCGATTTAAAGGTCCAAATTGATTCAAAGCTCTCCGAATCTCCAGCAAAGATTCGGAGAGCTTTGATGATTCAGGCAGTCCCTGGTGGCTGCAGCAGGGAGCAACAGCCACTCCAAGCTGGTAAGTACTAGGGGAGGGGAGCCCTAGTACCCCTGCCAGCCTCCCCACCGCACCTTCCCCCCCTGGC